TGTAAAACTACACATAAAGAACTCTGAAGGAAAAGGTAACTTAGGCACACTTAGTATGTATTCTCCAAATTTCAATATTACATCCATCTACCTTTTAACATTAAGTAACACACAAGCAAGGATGCTTAGGTTCATTACTGATAGATTTAAACACTCTCAGTTACAGGAAAGAGGTTTTACACAATCTTTCTCTGACAAGTCAGAGGACACCAGCAAACAAGACAACACAAAGTCAGTATTTGAATAACTATAGCAAAGGCAAGAGTCGCACAATTACTAAGTTGCCATAAAGAATTTACTGTGGAGGTATTACTTAAGACATAGACTTCATGCTGTATTTATTAAAGAAAAAAACTGTAGCTTCCAAAGAGGAATATATTACCAGCCTAATCACAACAACAAAACCTTTCAACTTTAAATTTTTCAATTCTCTAACTTTTAAATGTCCTCTCATTCCTAAACTCTTAGACCTCTCACTCTTCACTTTTAGCAGCCACAGATGTAAAAAGACAAAACCAACAGCACCTCACCCCAACCTGATTTTGTTATTTATGGCAGCCTTTATGAATAAACTAACACTTCAGCAATATGTGAACTGTGAACTTACAGATGTTCAAGCTGGTTTTAGAAAAGGCAGAGGAACCAGAGGTCAAATTGCCAACATTCACTGGATTATTGAAAAAGCAAGAGAGTTCCAGAAAAACATCTATTTCTGCTTTATTGACTATGCCAAAGCCTTTGACTGTGTGGATCACAATAAACTTTTTGAACTGTGGTGTTGGAGAAGACTCTTGAGAGTCCCTTGGACTGCAAGGAGATCCAACCAGTCCATCCTAAAGGAGATCAGTCCTAGGTGTTCATTGGAAGGACTGATGTTGAAGCTGAAACTCCAATACTTTGGCCACCTGATGCGAACAGCTGACTCATTTGAAAAGAGTCTGATGCTGGGAAAGATTGAGGGCAGGAGGAAAAGGGGACAAAAGAGGATAAGATGGTTGGATGGCATCACCGACTCAATGGACATGGGTTTGGGTGGACTCCAGGAGTTGGTGACGGACAGGGAGTCCTGGCGTGCTGCAGTTCATGGGGTCGCAAAGAGTTGGACACACCTGAGCAACTGAACTGAACTGAACACAAGTGAGGAAATGAGAGGCCTATTCATTCCTATCTTTTCTACTCCAGACATAAAACTAAAAGTGGAAAAGAAGATGAAATAGTCACTAAAACCTTAGGTTTCCTTTCAACAACTATTCAATTTACTGAAAAAATTTACTATACAAACCAATTTTAGAATTAAAGTTCTTTATTTTGAATTGACATTTACATTTACTGTGAAATATATGTTCAAAAAGTACACAGAACATATCAAATATGGATGGCCTAACAAATGATTATATGGCAAACATACGTTTTTTAAGTACAGTCCAAGTCCAGAATAGAAACCAGGATCACAGAAACAGAAGCAAGCTTTCTTAAAATACCCCACCTCCACACTCCTCTTCAATCACTACTAACTTAACATGCTATGTGAATTTCACAAGCTAATTCACTGAGAACAAAAAGAAATAGGGCCACAGTTTATGTGAGGTGGTATTTTAAAATACCTCCAAAATGCATTAATGGGCTTCTCTGGTAGCTCAGACTGTAAAGCATCTGCCTGCAATGCAGAAGACCTGGGTTCAATCCCTGGCTTGGGAAGATGCCCTGGAGGAGGACATGGCAACCCACTCTAGTATTTTTGCCTGAAGAACCCCCATGGACCTCTTCCTTTTCCGGTAAGCGGCCTGAGCTGACCCTTGAAAATGGTGCGCTATTCACTCGGCCCAGAAAACCCCACAAAATCATGCAAATCAAGAGGTTCAAATCTTCGTGTTCACTTTAAGAACACTCGTGAGACTGCCCAGGCCATAAAGGGTATGCATATCCGAAAAGCCACCAAGTATCTGAAGGATGTCACTTTAAAGAAGCAATGTGTGCCATTCCGCCGTTACAATGGTGGAGTTGGTAGGTGTGCACAGGCCAAACAGTGGGGCTGGACGCAGGGTCGGTGGCCCAAAAAGAGCGCTGAATTTTTACTACGTATGCTCAAAAATGCAGAGAGTAATGCTGAACTTAAGGGCTTAGATGTAGATTCTCTGGTCATTGAGCACATCCAAGTGAACAAAGCCCCCAAGATGCGGCGCAGGACTTAGAGAGCTCACGGTCGGATCAACCCCTACATGAGCTCTCCCTGCACATTGAGATGATCCTTACTGAAAAAGAACAGATTGTTCCTAAACCAGAAGAGGAGGTTGCACAGAAGAAAAAGATATCCCAGAAGAAACTGAAAAAACAAAAACTTATGGCCCGGGAATAAATGCCGCAGAAAATAAATGCAAATAAAAGTAAAAAAAAAAAACCCCATGGACAGAGAGCCTGGCAGGCTGTGTCCATGGGGTCACCAAGAATCGGACACGACTGAGCGACTAAGCACAAGCACAAAATGCATTAATAGAGAGACTTCCCTAATATATAGGACATTCTGCTATACTTTGCTGTGAAAAACGCCAGCAATAAGTGTATCGATCCATTTAGAGTACAAATTATAGAACTGTTTGAATTTAATTTTGTGGAACACCACACAGGAGGGCCATAAAACACAGATTATTTTTTCCCAGCATTTCCAACAGCTGGCAGGGAGGAAGACCAATATTAGCATTCAAGATGCAAAAAAAACCACTAAATAACGGCCACTGCAACTCAGCAGCACCTAGATACTTAAATTACAAAATAACAGATTGATTTCTGTAATCTTTCCTGGTCTCTGACAAAATAAAAAAAAGCTTAGTAAATACTTCTCATGTTCATCCTAAATAAGGGTGCTCACACAGCAGGATTACCATGATTCTGGGTCTCTTATTTCTTACACTAAATACTAGCATTTAAGTAATAACTATAACATGGAATCACACTAATGACTGTTTATATTAACACCTCCTGTTATAAGGTAGTATGAATTAAAAAAACCTATTTCTTATAGAACTAGCCAAAGCAAGGTTTTAACAAGATAAATGTTAACAGCCCCCAAATAAACTTAAGTGTAAAATATTAAAACTGATATGATGTTAAATTTAAACCTCATTTTTTTCCTTTGCAAAATAAGTCATTCAGAGTGGAGTGTGACATTTAAGTAAAAAATTCCTAAATACTGTTAATTAGTAACACTTAAGAGCCCTTTTTAAAGAAGCATTCTTACTCCAAAATGTAGACATAGATAATGAAAAGCAAATATAATTCATTTATAATTTAAAACCTAGCCAAACTCCTGTTTCCCTTGCACTAAAGATCTCCTTTTACTCCTCCAATTCCACCCACATATATGTCTAATTGTCTAATACTTACTTCTCACTAAACCCTGCAATCCTGAGCAGTGTTATCCCTGTGGGCTGTAACATGGTAAAGTGCTATATTACTACATTTGGAGATTTGAAGGACAGAAAAACACACAACCGTTTTAAACATCCAAGGTCTACTGTTAAGTACACTGACAATGGCAGATTAACAGTCATAGAGAAGGAGAGCCTTAGTATCTAGACATGCTTTAGACAAACAGAATTCCTTAAATCTCTAATATTGGAACGGCTAAGCAAATGATACATCATTTGATGGAATATTATGTAACCATTAAGACTAAAAATGATAAAGGTGTGTAACATAGCTTTATATAATTAAATATTTTAAATATGCTTTTATATCTACATGTAACTACAAAAACAGAAAGAAAAACTTAAAGAAAACAGTAAGAAATGAATATGTGGTACAGTTGTGAGGACTCCCCCAACCCTCCCACAGGTTTACAAAGTAAATAAAACCTAGAAGGTCAAAAATGTAATAACTCCTCTCTCTAGACAACTATAAAACTATCATCAGCACCTAGCAATCACCTCATTTTATGATCTACACTAAAACACACCAAAACTTGCTACATATTACTCTTACAGGGCTGCTTCTGGGCAAGGTCAATGGATAAAAGGGAAACAAGGTCCTGTCTGAGTAGACCGATTAAGAGAGGAAAAAATGACTTCCTTACCTCATAGCATGGTGACAGAGGTATTTTAATCCATGGCATGTTTTATTGCCATCACAAGGCATCAAATATAAACATTATTTCCTATCAAAACTAACAACTGTATCCAGTTTAAGGCATAACTACATACACAAATGAGTATAACTAGTAAACTCTAAATGAGGTCTTGTGTCAGCTTCCTAGTTTTGATACTGAATTATACTTATTTAAGCAATCAACACTGGGGAAGACAGAATAAAGAATGCATGAGACCTTCCCTGTATGTTTCTTTACAATTTCCTGTGAATCTATCATATCAAAACAAAATGTTAAAAAAATACACACACACACACACACACACACACACACACACACACATACTGCCAGTTTTTCAAAATGGATGAAACCCATTCTTCTAATAGTACTACTATCAGAGTGGTATTCTTCACCTTGCTGAGAGCACACTAAATTGCTACAGACTCCTTTGGGAAAAATGATTCTATAGCATAAATCCAGGCCATAAAAGTTGTGGCTTTTTACCTAGCCATTTAATTTCTGGGAATTACCTAAAGAAACAACATCAGATTTGGGAAAACATATACATGCATTTATATACATATATATATAAAGATATTACTACACTGAAATAAAGTAAAATTGATGCAACTTTAGGTGTTTGAGGATATGGGAATCATTAAATTCTCAAACCCTAGGCATGAAATATTATGCAATCATTTGATAATATTGCAAATGGTACAATAATACAATAGGAAATGCATATAATGAGAGACTAAAGCAAAATTAAAAATTAGCCACACAAAAGTAACAGGAAATATTTCTGATAAAAATAAAAGATAATGGTGTTAGTATGACAGAATTATGTGCATTTTTCTCAAACTTCTCCATTAGAGATACTATATTAGTTTCATAGTTTAAGAAATAAGCATACTTTTACCTTATCCCAGAAATCAATCAAAGCTGTAAAGTCCCATTTCTTAGAATATGCCACATTGTACTTCAGAATAGCATCCTATGGAAAAAGCATAAATAAAATGTCATGATACAGTAAAGTGAATTATCTAGGAATAATCTGTCTCCTTTATGAATTATTTCCAGTATATTTCTTAATGTTGGACAAGTTTCTTCCACCATTAGCTACTCCATATCAGCAGTTATGAATGAACAGAATGCATACTAATTTTTAGTATTCACTTAAGAAAACTGAGATTAGAAAGGTCAAGTAATAGAGGGGGAAACATAATTACTCTAAAACATGTACTCTAAACAGAAGCAATATAATCCAAATGGACAAAATTGGATCTTGGGTGTTAAAAAAAAGGAAATAGTAATAATATAGTGACTTTTGGTACTTAATAGGGTCACACTACATATACAGATATATAGTGTATTAACATTAAGATTTCATTAGGAGAGTAAATTAGGGGAAGAGAGCAATAAAGAAAAAAGACTGAGGTCAAACTAGTGTGCCATCTGCTGGTGTAATTTTAACTGTCTGAATGCTCTACGCTATATCGCTTCAACTGTGTTGGACTCTGGCCCTATGGATTGAAGCCTGCAAGGCTTCTCTGTTCATAGGATTCTCCAGGCAAGTATACTGGAGTGGGTATACTTCTTTTCCTTAACCCTAATTGTCTTGAATAGGCAGTACTTCACCTGTGGGGTAGGCATAAGACAATCCATTAAGTTACGCAGAAAGAACTATTGTGTCACATCCTTTTAAATTTCTATTTGATTATATTTTATAATACATATTAATATAGAATTTATAAAAAACCATTTATAATCACAATATACACCTAAAGATTTTTTTACTGAAGGCATATTAAGTCTGAAAAACATTGTGCTAGATTATTACTATAGACCTAAATTTCCTCATCATTGAAGAAAGTTTTTAAAAATTAACATTCTGCCAAAGAGCTTCCTGAAAAATACTTCATGTCACATAAATTATCACCAAGCATCTCGGCTAAAAGAAATGAGCCAATAAAAATGTATATAATCTACTTCAAACAAGAAGACATCTAAGCCTCTTGAAAAAGGAAAAGTCATCAACCATAAAATAATATGACAAGAAATATTATGACAAGATATGACAATATGACAAGAAACATTATGATAAGATATGACAATAATATGACAAGAAATTATACTCTCACACCTATAGTACATTTTCCATTAAGAAGGAAAAGATTTTAAGAATATTTTCCCCCAAAGTACTGGTATTTGATTTCAGGACCTTAAACAAAATATTAAATAGCAATGCTATAACAGCAAACAGACAAACAATGCATATAGTGGAATAAGCTACTGATACACTCAACAACACAGATGAATCTCAAAGATCTTCATCTAAGTGAAAGAAGCCAGACACACTAGCATACCTGATACATGATTCCATTCAAATAAAATGTAGCTGATACTTAGTTTTGTTTTTTTTTTTTAAAAAAGGCAGATCAACAGGTGCCTGCGGCCAGGGCAGAAAGAGGCAATTGATCAGAAAGTGGTAAGAAAAATCTTTGCAGAGTGACAGGAATGCTCTGTATCTTGACTGCAGTGAGAGCTTCAAGTGTATATGCCAATGTCAAACTTCATCAAGCTACATTCTTTAAAAGAATGTACTATCTTATATGTAAATTATTCCTCAAAGTTGGTAAGGAAAAACATTCTAAATAGCATTTATATTCTAATTCTTTAGTGGAGTTGTATAATTAGCATTAACTCCTAACTAATATTTACTTTACTTCAGTCTTTAAGTCTCAAAAGTAGTCCACCACGAGGTCTCCTTTCACGAGAAAAACTGTGTGCATACTAAGTCGCTTCAGTAGTGTCCAACTTTATGCGACCCTATGGACTGTAGTCCACCTGGCTCCTCTGTCCACAGGGATTCTCCAGGCATGAGTGGGTTGCCATGCTCTCTTCCAGGGGATCTTCCTGACCCAAGGATCGAACCCGTGTTGCTTATGCCTCCTGCATTGGCAAGCAGGTTATTTACCACTAGCGCCACCTGGGAAGCCTGGGTGCTACTCCATACAGTATTCTTAGATGAGTGATTTTTTTTTTCAGTTCATAATTCACAATAAGTACAAGTTAAAGCACAAAGAAGCCCATTCTTTGCAAATTATCAGACATATTATTCACAGAAATATTACAGTGTAAACCAACTTTTGAGGACACTGTTGCTTTTTTACCCTCTGAGCCACCAGGGAAGCCCGAGGACACTGTTGCTTTTTTAAACTTATAACATCTCTAATCCCTCTCAACATCAAATGGCATTAAAAAAAACACAGCAAAATATTATTATATTCTGTAAGAAGGATTTAATGTTTTCCCTTCCCTCTCATTGTGCTCCTTCATCAAAGGAAACAATTACCATTAAGTCAAGAGAAGAAAATCTCAATAGATTACTCTGTTACACTGAATCTACCATAAAATAAACAAAAAAGGGAAATTCAGATTAAATTAATTACCCCTTTTTAAAATAATCATGGTGGATGGGATGGGGAGGGAGGTGGGAGGTGGGATCAGGATGGGAAACACATGTAAATTCCATGGCTGATTCATGTCAATGTATGGCAAAAACCACTACAATATTGTAAAGTAATTAGCCTCCAACTAACAAAAATAAATGAAAAAATAAATAAAAGATAAAATAATCACAGCACACTAAGGAATTGCTAAAAGAGGTGAGCAACAATGTAATTTAGAACACTATGATTACCATGTATTTGTGTTTAAAAAAAATACATAAATTCTTAAATAATCCTGTTTGTAAGGCTATTAAAGACACTAAATTAGTGTTTTTCATATAGAGTCTGGACAGTATTCCTGATTGGTCTGCTTGTGCTTTCGAGTTTATAAATGTGGTTTTGGAATGAATCAGCTCAGTTCAGTCACTTAGTCAGGTCAGACTCTGTGACCCCATAGACTGCAGCATGCCAGGTTCCCTGCCCATCACCAACTCCCGGAGCTTGCCCAAATTCATGTCCATCGAGTCGGTGATGCCATTCAACCATCCATCCTCTGTTGACCCCTTCTCCTCCTGCCTTCAATCTTTCCCAGCATCAGGTCTTGTCCAATGAGTCAGTTCTTTCTCATCAGGTGGCCAAAATATTGGAGTTTCAGCTTCAGCATCAGTCCTTTCAATGAATATCAGGGCTGATTTCCTTTAGGATTGACTGATTTGATCTCCTTGCAGTCCAAGGGACTCTCAAGAGTCTTCTCCAACACCACAGTTCAAAAGCATCAATTCTTCAGCACTCAGCTTTCTTTATAGTCCAACTCTCCCATCCATACATGAACACTGGAAAAACCATAGCCTTGACTAGACGGACCTTTGATGGCAAAGTAATGTCTCTGCTTTTTAACATGCTCTCTAGGTTTGTCATAGCTTCTCTTCCAAGGAGCAAGCGTCTTTTAATTTCATGGCTACAGTCAGTTTGGAATGAATACAAAGGCCAGAAAAACAACACACTGTAGAAACGAAAGCTGGTACTTTAAATAAAGAAGTACCTAAGATGCACTGCAGTAGAGGAATGTCAAATTCTTAAAAACCTGAACCTATCGCATTTATTTGCAAGCTGATATTCTGCATAGAGACCCCATCTTTCCCTCTACCAACATTCACCAACTGCGATAAGTTAAAAAGCAGTAAACACAAAGAATTTTATCTTCATACAGTATAATTTTTAAGTTTATCAGCATACTATTCTGGGGCTCAGATATGTGTTTAAGCATATCTGTGCAAAAAGCAAATACTGATTACAAATTGTTTTCACAGTGATAATGAACACAACTCAAATGATGGGTCAATATGTTTAAAATGGAAAAAATCAAATTGATATAACTGGATATAAGTATAAAGAGATTTATTCAGTTTTATGTTTGTACATATGTAATTAATGTATGTTTATGTTTGTGCACATGTAATTAACATATTAACAATAAGTAAGCTCTGGCAGACCCTGAGAATTTCTCTCATTTAAAAAAAGTAATTATAAGGCTGAGAAATACTATCCCTAAGAAATGAAATTTTCAAAATATATTATGGTACAATGTACCACTGTTTTTCATATGAAGAAAACAAGAGCTAAGGAAAGAAAAAAGGGAGCGATGGAAAAGGTACAGAAAGTTAAGAATAACTTAAAAGTTTATATAAGGCTATAGTGCCAAAAATAAACATATACTCAAAACAATCTAATGGTTGCCCTTACGGACTTAAACGAAATACTTTTTAAATCAAAAAATAAATTATTGCCAAAATATAAGATTAATAAATTATGAAACTGCTAGAAGCTGTTATTAAAAGCAATAAAAAGTACAATGTTTAATCATTAGCAAACTACGCTTCCCTTTGGGCAAACAATGCTGAAGTCATAATTCTTCCCTGATTTACTTTTAAAGACATTTCAGAAGCAGGATAATTCTAAAACAAAAAGAAAAGCAAAGCCCAGGATCAAAGGAAATTGGATGGGGAATCAAGAAACAGGTCTTATTCCATGTGGCTCCAGGCAAGTCATTTACAACTCTCAATTCTTCTACTCATTACCTAGAGATGGAGTATAAACCAAGAAAGTCTCTAAAGAGAGTTCCTCAGGAAGCAAGCACTTTGCATACAAATAATGCTATTCAGTTCAGTTCCGTTCAGTCACGAAGTGATGGGACCAGATGCCATGATCTTAGTTTTCTGAATGTTGAGCTTTAAGCAAACTTTTTCACTCTCCTCTTTCACTTTCATTAAGAGGCTTTGCTGTTACCTAAGTCTTTTAAAGATCAAACAACATCTCTGATGGAAAAGACCAGGGCTCATCTCTAAGAACTACATGTAAGAGACAAAAATTACAAAAGAACACACCTTCAAGTTTTGGGGTCGAGTGAACTTGTTGAGAAGTGCAGTCTGAATGAGCTCCCACCGGCTCCCTGCAGTTCGCTCACCATTCTTTAAGGAAAAGAAAAACATGAGGAAACTATTCCAAGTTGTCTTACATGGCAGAATCAGAAGCCAAACAGCAAGCATTAAAATATCTTTCAGAGACTAAAAGAACATGAGTTCTGTTCAATTTTGTTCTCACCTCATCTTCCACAGGGTACAAGTTTTGTTCTGAACAAGGCATCTTAACATGCTTGTTGTCCCACAAATCTTTAAAATGTGTTGGGAAAGGTTTAGGAACTTCTCCTATTCGCAAAAGATCTACCTGAAATGCAAGAAAACTGTAAGTGCATAAAAACTAGGCATATCTTCTGTAAAATAATGCAAAGAAATCAGCTGAATTAAATGCTATAAAAATACAGACCAGCTTCTAAGTAAGAAATCTCATAAGTCTTTTTCAGTTGTTCCCACTCATTACCTTCAGTGAGTTTCCAAATCATCATGTCTTGGGCACTCTATCTTCATCCCATCCAGTGCCCTAGTCCTTATTAATCTTTGACTGAATTTCTGGTAATACCTTTCTATCCCTCTTCCTAATTCCCAACTGCTCCCAGATACATTCATCAAACATAAAACCCTTATCCCCACTTGGGAATAATATTATCTTTCTAAAGTATCCCCAACCTTCTAATCCTATAATGGCTCCCTTCTGCCTATACAGATTGTAAATGATTCCAATTTTTAACAATTTTTAGTGTTTTACCCAAAACACTATTTTTTTTAACACTATCTATTTAAACATCAACCTGCAATACTCAGCTCAATTTTCATTTCCTATAAGAAGTCTTTAAAAACTTTCTAATAGGCAGTAAGTTTATTCTCTCATTTTATCGGATCATTATCATACTAGAGCACACTTTTTCCCCTCCTCCACTGGACTCTAAACTTAAGAATAATAACTATATTAACTTTGTATTTTGAGTATTTACAACAGAGCCAAACATGTATGTTTTTAATATGTATAAGTGTTTATATACATACAGTTGATCTTTGAACAACATGGGTTTGAACTGCACAGGTTCACTTATACAATTATCTTTTTCAATAAATACATACTATAGCACCACACTATCAGCAGCTGATTGAATTGCTGAAAGCGGAACCTCAGATACAGAGGGCCAACTGTAAAGTTATACTGGGATTTATTTTTTTTTTACTTTTATCAGTTATTTTATTTTATTTTTCAGATGGAGGTGGGAACTATACTCAGATTTTTGACTGCCCAGAAGGTTGGCACCCTAACCCTCAAACTGTTCAAGGGTCAACTATATATATACACACATTGTTGCTGTTGTTCAGTTGTTAAGTTGTATCCGACTCTTTGTGACCCTGTGGCCTGCAGCATACCAGGCTTCTCTGTCCTCCAACTATCTCCTGGAGTTTAATCAAATTCACGTCCACTGAGTCGGTGATGCTATCTACTCATCTCATCCTCTGCTGCCCCCTTCTCCTTTTGCCTTCAAAGTGTATATATGCACTTGGATAAATAAATAAATAAATATATTCAAGGTTCATCCATACCATATAGCATGAATCAGAACTTCACTGTCGATCATCAAATTATTACACAAATAAATATAAAATTTCAACTGTAAGATGCTATAAATGAGAGGTTCATAATGTCACAAGAATCTTTCTAGACAATTTTAACTTATGTGGTGAGCTTAGGGAATCCTTCTTTGAGGAAGTAGCAGTTGAGCTCAACTCCAAAGGTTAAAAATAAGTAGGAAAAGGTGAAAGGGACAAAAAAAAGGAACAGCCTATGGAGGGAAAGACTGTTAAATAGGCAGCTTCATTAAAAGCCTGTAACCTGAGAGAAATAAATTTGTAGGCCTTTTATACAGGTAACCATTAAAACCACAAGTATGTATAAGACTACTCCAAGAGAGGAAAAAATAAGAGGACATATGAAAAAGTCCTGGGGAACTCTAACAACATTTAAGGGCCACATACAGAAAAAAAGCTAAAAGGAACAAAGCAAGGGTTTAAGGAGGCAGGAAGAAAATCAGGAATATATGGCATCAAAGAAGCCAAAGGATGAGAATATTCCAAGGAGGAAACAATAAAGGATGTTCAAGAGTCAAAAGTGGCCGAGACATCAATCCTGCCAAAAGTATTCTGTCCTCCAAATGGGGACCCCAAAGATGACTTTGTAAAGATCTTCCATGTCATCTAAGGTGACAAAAACAGGTACCAGCAGAGCTTCACACATAGGGGAACATAATATATAAGAATATATCTTTGGGTGTCTGTCTGTTTAAATGTGTCTATGCAGGTGTATAGCACATGCTTATACATGTGTTTGCCTATATGTGTATATATGTTTGTGTGTGAATGTATGTTGCATGCATGAGTGCATTTACAGATAATCAAGTGTTATCATGTCCATGCAATTTCAGATTGTCTTCCATTTCTAACACTAAATGTCAGCTTTATATTATGACTTCAAATTCTGTAACTATTAATATCTGGCATCTTAGAAATGTATCTAAGGACTGTCTATTTAACAAATATTAATTATACATATAGCATACTATACTACCATATTCAGGAAAAAGAATCTAGAAGAAAACACATCAAATTCTTAAACTTTTTTTACTGACCCTGTATTACTTTTGTAATAAAACTTTCATAAATTCATTGGATATTTGACAAACAGTAATTACAGAGATTAATTAATGATGGTATAAGATGCTTTAGGTTTTCTTTGTGGACAGTGGGAAAGAGGAAGCAGGAAAAGTCAAAATATCACTTATTTCCTCTGATCAATCTTTTTTCCAAATCTTAACCATTAATATCTTGTCAGTCACTCAAACCTTTTCTTAATTTCACACACATTATCAATGCCTCCTTTTCCCTTATCACCCATGCTTAAGAATTCAGTGTCCTATCAATATAATCTCAAAACAATTTGCATTTATTCTTTTATATTCCCACAATTACTACCCTGTCTCAGTTATTTCCAAACTTTTTTAAAGAGCAGAACTCTTTTTTCCCTATGAATTCTCATACAAAATCATATTTAAATAAAAGCTATTTTAATAAATATAATTTTTAGAGTGACTTTACAATTTTATCAAGAGCAAAGAGACTAACTGAAGGACTATGAAATTGAGAGAGACTACAGCTAAAGCTTTCATCAATCTATTTATATCTCTCATCCAATATTAAGAAAATCCTATCCACACACCTAAACAGCTGGCAGATGATAACTTTTTTACACTGTTATTTTGATATTTAAGGAAATACTTCAAACAGCAGTAGCAAGAGAACCCTGATTCTATGACCTGCCCAAAAATGAGTTCTCTTGGTAAAACCTGCTGGTTAAAATATGGTATTAAGCCAAAAAAAAAAAAAAAAGAATGGTATTAAGCATTTTTAAAAGTAAACACACGTTAGTTCTTTTACAACAGGTTTTCCATAGTTAAATATACAGTTTAGAAAAGAAATTTGAGTCAATATCAAAAGAACCCCTGAGCCACTTTCACGAAGCACAATTTGATAACTACTGTTTGCTTACTTTTCATCTCTTAACCAAGCTCTTACCTTTTCCTGTTTCCAATGTATCCTCACTTCAGTCTTCCTCACAAATAGCTGTCTGATCAACCTTGCTATGTATATAGTACTATTGTCTGCACAGACATTTTCATGATTTCCAATTCTTATAGATTTAATTTCTCATACTCAGTTTCTGATACCTGAAGCCCTCTACAATATGAACCCAAACTACTTTTCAAGTCTTCTCTTCCACCATTTTCCATCCAAATACTCAGTTCCAGCAAATCAACTGCTTTCCATTTGTAAAAGTTTTAAACTGCACAGCCTTTTCCTATAAAGGTTATATACCTATCTGGAATTCCCTTGCCTTACTAACTCCATTTCAGAAATTTCCTCTCATCTTTAAGAACTCAGCTCAAACTCCACCACCCTGCTCTATGTTGCTTTTACTTAACCATATTAATGAATTCTGTACTTCAAAATATTTAATCACATGTAGGCTAAGTTGTATAAGAACAGAGATTTTTTTTTTAAGTAGCCCCTGTGAAATCTAATATAGAACCTAATAAATGAGATGAATATTTAATCCCGCATGGATTCTTTTTTGTGTTGTTTTTGTTGGCCATGCCACATGGCTTGTGGGATCTTAATTTCCTGACCAGGAATCAAACCAGGCCCATGACAGTGAAAGCACTGAGTCCTCACCACTGGAGAGCCAGGGAATTCCTAAGATGTGAATATTTAAAACTACTCCAAGAGTGACAGAAATATTCTAAGATTGGATTACGGCAATGGTTGCCTAACTTGGTAAACTAACTAAATATAACTGAACACTTAAAATGCTCAATAAAGTTTTTCTTTTTTTTTTTTAAGAACCCATGAAAAGTATGAAAGAGGTTACCAGGGTTAGTGAGGAATGAGAAGTTACTGTTTAGTAGGTAGAGCTTATGTGCAGGAAGATGAAAAATTTCTGGAAATGAACAGTGGTGATGGTTGTATGACACTGCCACTGAAATGTACACTTAAAAAATGATTAAGTTGGTAAACTTCATATTATGTACATTTAACCACAGTTTTTTTTTTTTTTAATGAGGTTGGTTTTAGAAATGCTGAGTTTGAGATACCTATGGGATAGTGATGGGGATGTCTAAAAGAATCTAAAGCTCAGAAAAAGAGGATAAAACTGGAGAATAATTTGAGGATACTGAATAACATACAATTTTGAATTTTAGTATCTAACATGTACTGGGTACTCAATAAATATTGTCAATTGAATTTTCTAATTCAATAAATTTTCTAAACAATACAGAATATTCAATATCCTCAGCAGTTAACAGTGATTCATCTTACAGATTTGTTAAGTACTGTGTTAAGTAACCTATCATTATATTTCTCTATTCTATAAACTTCTCAGTACTTTATATATGCAGAAAAGAGAAGCACTTTCTATGCATTGGTCTGTTTTTCACAAGTATCACAATAAACTGAAACTTAGCACCTTCTCTCTTTATAGGTAAGAGGTAATATCTACCCTAATAGTCACTGTGTGATTGACAGACGGTCTCAAGGGAGGCAGCCGGATCCCACACCTTGGCATTCTTCTCATCTCCTCAATAGGAGTTCCAAGCCATTTCTTATCTGGAGAAAGGTGAGGTGGAATGTATTTAGGGATCTTCCTTTCTGTTCTTTGATGTTTCATTTCACATTGTTCTTTTCTAAGATCAAAAACAAATATATTCAATCACAAACCACTCACTGTTTAAATTCACTTAGATACACAAGTAAAAACACTTACCCAGAAGTTATTGTTTAAAATGTGCCAAACTTGCTCTTTCTCCTTGGTATTTAGAAAAAACAAAACAACAAAAAAAACCTTATAAGGCTTATAGTAAAACCCAAGAGCTTATTTTCAATAGTCTGTGGAAGGAATTTCCAAACACATGTAAATCACCTTCTGAAAAAAGGGGCCTTGTAAAAGAATAGGTACATTGCCAAACGAGTCATGTTTCACAGTATCAGCTACTTTTTAGGACTCGAGACAATAATTTTCAATGAAGTGAACTTACTATGGCATCCTTGCCATAAAAGATCACAAAAATTATGGAGAGGGCTTTAAGATAATTTTTATACTTACATTTTTTTTGTAATCATACAGGCTGGGATTTAAATCCCAGCTTTACTCCCCACAAGTTACATAATTTCAGTGAATTTTCTAACCAATTTCAGTTTTCTCACTTGTGAAGTGAGTGCAATACCACCCGCCTGCCGTCAGAGCATTAGAAAAAATGCATATACAGTAGCCTAAGATAACAGTAGTTACTATCATATTTATGACCAAGCAATTCCCATAAATCTCAGAAGGAAGTTGATGAAATTAATATCTGATTAATTATTTACTTCTTTTCTGTTTCTGTGATTTTTAGAATTTAACATTTGAGTCTAAGTTTAAATCATGCATTATTAACTAATAAGAAAAACAACTATTTCTTGCCTTCAGTGCAAACCAGAAGTTCATGAAACTCCCCCTCACAAAATTACATAACACATTACCCTTCTGAAGATACTCTTGATGGTAAAAATTACCTTTTGTCCTCTGCTTTGGGCATTCTCATGAAATGATCTGTGATTTTAGAATCCTTTCTCCCATGTTGCTTAGAATTTCTGCACTCTACATTCAGGCTAGAAGTACTTCCAGGTAGTTTGACATTCAAATCATTCATTCCAGCTCGACTCTCTCCTCCTTCAAATTGGAAATGTAATCGAATCTCACCTCCCTTAGCAGAGGACCGCTTCCTCAACTCAGTGTCAGCTTCTCTTGGTTGGAACCTTGAAGGTTTATTTGCTGTTTGAGCAGAACTGCTATCTTCCTGTTCATCAAAACCTGGACTTGTCTCTTCATCTGCTTCTGAATCCTGACAACTATTTTTGGAATTATCTACATCCATTGGCGACTCAGGTTCACTTTCTTTCTCAAATGGAGGAGAATTTCCTAGACTACTTTCATGTCTACTCAATTTGTTGGCATTTTTCAGTCCAGTACCAACATCCTCAGATCCAATGTCCGACAAGGGGCTCTCTGGCACCACGTCTGTCTCTTCCTGCTGACACCCTGCACAGTCTTCTGCAGGATGGCAAGCCTTGCTATACTTCTGGTGGCTTCTGGTTTCTCTGCCCTGTTCATCTTCCATTGTCTGCTTTGCATTCGCAAGCCTTACATATGTCAAAAACTGTTGATTATCTCTACTCTCCTCACTGTTTGTGTCACTGTGATCATCATTCTGGGGTGACTGATCAACGTTAGCATTACTGAACTGCTCTGGTACCAGAGTTACTGCTGGAGGTTCACTTTCCAAAAGCCGTTCTGAGTGTTTCCCTTCATTCTGCCACTTACACATAGTTGCAGTCTGATGCTGGTTCAAATACTGTGTACTTTTTTCAACTGATGACTTATCGAAACCTAGCTGAGAAACATTTTCTAATTTTTCCATGTTATGTTGATAAAAGTTATCTTTTTGTACAGAACTCATTATGGATTCTTCTCTTGTATTGTTGTTTTCTTTACTATGCAAACTGTAAAAGAATAGAAAGAATGATACAACAGAACTTATAACACAATGGAAAGAATTTATGACATAAAAAAGTCACTTACCCAAACACATTCCTACAATATCATAGCAATAATTAAACCTGCGATTACCTGAGCATATAGCATGCTCCATATGTTCATGACTCCATACACTTTCACATTTGCCTATAATGCCCTTTTCCCAACTGTGTGCCTGGCAAACACCAGCTAGAATGCAGTGTTAAACTTCATCATCCACCTTCATTCACCTGTGCAGTCTTTCTTGCAAAGGTAAAGCTGACTGTCTGTTCTACATGCTAACTACCACTGTTATATCAAGGTAGTTTATAACTACCTTGTTTATATCTTTACTGTGGCATTGATCATACCATGTAAGAATCATGTGCTTTTTGGTGTCTGTCAGCACCACTACACTGTAAGTATCTTAAAGACGGAGACTACTGTTTTTCATCTCTGCATCTCAAGTATGCTAAACCATCCCTGGCATACAGAATTAACTGAAATGTCAATAAAGAAAAATGTGAAAGCAAAAAGGAGCGAAAATAGCATAAAACATGATGTAACATCCATATATCACATTATTCATTACTCTAGATAAGCATGTTTCTATACCTTTCTGATTCCACTGTCTTGATTCCTTTAGTGTCCATCCAACTGGTTATAGTCTTCTGTTTGAAAACTGCAAAGAAAAAAAAAATGTATGTGCATGCATACCTTCAAAGAGAAAACACCTATACCAGCATATACATATGGAAGGCATTAAGCTAGGTTCTGTGGATTAAAAAAAGATTAATCATTCCTTCCTCATGCAAGCAATGGGAGAAAATATAGCAACATAAATATAAATACATTTGGCACAGAAGAGAAAGTGACCAGACCTTAAAAGAACTGGTATGGTCTAATGGATGAGACTACAGACTCTGAATTCAGAGTGTGTGCTTAGTCGCTCATTGTCCGACTCTTTGTGACCCTTTGGACTAAACAGCCTGCCGGGCTCCTCTGTCCATGGGATTTTTCAGGCAAGAAAACTGGAGTAGGTTGCCATTTCCTTCTCCAGGGGATCTTCTGGACTTAGGGATCGAACGTACATCTTCTGTGTTTCCTGCACTGCAGGCGGATTCTTTACCTAGATCCAAACCCTGGCTCTCCTTCTGAATTCCCGTGTGATTTTGTGAAGAGCCACTTCTCTGTGTCTCAGATTCTTTATCAGTAGACATGCAAATTAATAGTATCTCTCTTGGGTTATTGTGAGGTTTAAATTAAGTAACAACCATTGCAAACTGCTTACCATATGCTCAGTAAATGTTAGTTGTTATTAGTATTAAAAGAGATCCTAAGGGAGGGCCCTGGTGGTCTAGTGTTTAGGATTCGGCACTTTCATTGACCTGGCCCAGGTTCAGTGCCTGACTGGGGAACTGAGATCCTGCAAGCTGCACAGTGAGGCCAAAATAGTAATAAATTTTAAAAGTAAAATAAATTCAAAAAGACCCTGATAAGAAATTAAGATATTTCTGAGGAAAGGACTACTTTAGGGAATTGAAGAAAGTGGGATTATCTGATAAATAGTTCTTGAAGAATAAACATGCAGTCACATTAAGGGAAAAAATCAGAAGCAACAGAACCAATGGTAGAAAAATATTAAGAAAACAACAGAAAATATGGCTGAAAAGTCAGCAAGGAACCATAGAGATTCCTGAAAAACCCTCAAAGAGAGGTACAAAATACTGTCAAAAGTCACATTCAGAGCTGTAATGCCAGAATTCAAATCTAGGAGGCTCCCAGTGAGGCATAATACACAGCCTATACATCAGGTGTGAAGGGGCAAGAAGAACTTATCGTTAGCAGCCAATGAGGAAGGTACTGGTCTAGGTCAGTGGTTCCCAAACCAACTGAATCATCAGAAGGCTGACAACAAACAGATCCAAGGACCATATCTAGACCTTCTGAATGAAAATCTATACGTGATGATGGAGGTATGAGGGGAGGTGGATTCTGTGTTTTTTTTCCCCTAAAAAGCAGTTCTGATGATCAGCAAAGTTGAAGGACTATTGGTCAAGATCCAAAACTAGTCTTGTCTTTGTAAGAATAGAGAATAAAAGTTGAGAAGTGAGAGTCATTACAGATTTCAAAATGTCAGAGGTTAAAAGTGACACTAAACTTTAAGCTTGAGACTTGAAAGATGGTGAGAACATTAAATGGAAATGTAGACTATAAGAGAACTGGATTTACGGGGAAAATATGATTGGGTCAATATGAACACACTAAATTTAAAATGCCAGAGAGATAACTAGATAGAAATGACCAGCAGATAGTAGCAAAAGTAGAATTAATGGTTCAGCAAGGTACATATACCATAAACAAATGTAAGCCAAATTTATATAAACATAGAAATTTAAGTATGCTTTTAAAATTTAATGTATTGCATATGGATTACATGTATATAACATGTTAGTATGACAGTGAAAGTATTAGTTGCTCAGTTGTGTCTGACTCTTTGTGACCCCATGGTATATAGCCCACCAAGCTCCTCTGTCCAAGGAATTCTCCACGCAAGAATACTAGAGTGGGTTGCCATTCCCTTCTCCAGGGGATCTTCTTGACCTAGCAATCAAACCCAGGTCTCCTGCACTGCAAGCAGATTTTTTTCCATCTGAGCCACCAGGGAAGCTCTTTAATGTAAGAAAACATAAAATCTTGAACATTCTCTGTTGGGAGCTGCTGGGATGAGAAAGAAACCTGCAAGGCAGCTCTTCCCCTCGAGGTTGTCCCGGGGACAAGGTCACGGGACAAGAAAGGAATCAGCAAGGCAGCTCTTCCCCTCGAGGTTGTCCCCGGGACCCGGTATGTCCCTTTCTTCCTTCTGTCTTACTGTTGTTGGGCTTTCTATTAATTTTTGGAAATGATAATTTATAGTAATAAGGCCTCACTGGAAAAGTCCAAGCCTTTTTGGAAATGCTCAAGATTGCTCTGGCTCAGGACATGACCATAAACACCAAGTCATAAAAGAAAAGGCCACAGGTATAGTTTGGCTGCTTGCTTAAAAGATTATAATCTTCTAGAATAGAAAAGAGTAGAGGTGTTTAGATTTAGAAGTAGATATACTGCTTTAGTTTACTTGCTCCTTGGTTGAAAGGGTTTTCACTATTGCTATTTCCTTGCTGCTATTTGCTCATTGTTTCCATTTCTTTAAACAACATGGGATATTATGGGTATTTTTGTAAAATTAGAAAATGGGACATATAGGATTTTAATAGAAGATTTATATTAACCAGCTTCATTGCCATTATCTCACTATTAATAAAGGTGTTTTGCTGCTTTAGAGGTGTTTTTGCTGTTTAATAGTTAATCATTGTAAATTGAGATTTTGTGGTTTCAGGTAAAGAAAAATATCAGATTTTTCTCATGGTACTATTTTCAGAACTGTCAAACATGTTACTGTGACCCAGATGTCATGATCTTAGTGTTGTTGTTGTTTTTTTTTCTTCTAAATATTTTTTTTCTTCAAAATCACTTATGTATTTATTTTTGGCTGCGCTGGGTCTTTGTTGACACATGTAGGTTCTCTCTAGTTGGGAGCGCGGGCTACTCTCCACTTGTGGCTTATGGGCTCTAGAGTGCGGGCTCAGTAGTTGTGTCACAGGGGCTTAGTTGCCCCAGGGCCTGTGGCATCTTCCTGGACCAGGGATTGAACAAATGTCCCCTGCATTGGCAAGCAGATTCTTAACCACCGGGCCACCAGGAAGTCCAATATTGAGTTTTAAGCCGGCTCTTTTCACTCTCCTCCTTCACCCTCAGCAAGAGGCTCTTTAGTTTCTTGTCCCCTCTGCCATTAGAGTGGCATCAGCCGCAGATCTGGGGTTGTCGATGTTTCTCCTGTTGATCCTGGTTCCCGCTTGTAGCTCACCCAGCCCGGCATTTCGCACGCTGTGCTTGCGTAACAGTTAAACAGACAGGGTACAAGAAACAGCCTGTCGTACTCCTTTCTCAATTTTGAACCAGTCAGTTGTTCCATAGACGGTTCTGACTGTTGCTTCTTGACCCGCATGCAGGTTTCTCAGGATACAGGTAAGATGGTCTGGTATTCCCATCTCTTTGAGAGTTTTCCACGGTTTGTTATGATCCACACAGTCAAAGGCTTTAGCCGACTCAATGAAACAGAGGTAGAGGTTTTTCTGGATTTCCCTTGCTTTCTCTAGGATCCAGCGAATGCTGGCAATTTGATCTCTGGTTCCTCTGTCTTTTCTAAACTCAGTTTGGACATCTGGAAGTTCTCGGTGAACCGAGAACCAGCTTGGAGGATTTTGAGCATAACCTTGCTAGTTTGGGAGATGAGTGCAATTGTCCGGTGGTACCTGGGGAGATTGCCACAGCGGCTGCCTTTCCCACCACACTGTCTGGTGCACTTAGACCAGCGCCCCAGCTAGATCTTGGTCGAATGCCGGAATCAACGGAAAAGGACGAAAGAAGGTAAGATGGGGAAGTCGTTCTGGTTCATACATGATTTGAACTTTGTGCTGACCTGAACAGCCTACCTTGTATATCCAAGACACAGTGGTTCTTACTTTAGGCCCTCTTCTCTTCTAAGTAATANGGTTCACGTATTGCTGAAGCCTGGCTTGGAGAATTTTGAGCATTACCTTACTAGCGTGCGAGATGAGTGCAATTGTGCAGAAGTTTGAGCATTCTTTGGCACTGCCTTTCTTTGGGACTGGAATGCAAACTGACCTTTTCTAGTCCTGTAGCCACTGCTGAGTTGTCCAAATTTGCTGGCATATTGAGTGCAGCACTTTCATAGCATCATCTTTTAGGATTTTAAACAGCTCAACTGGAATTCCATCACTTCCACCAGCTTTGTTCCTAGTGATGCTTCCTAAGGCCCACTTGAGATCTTTGCTCAGTCACTTAGTAATAATGTACTTCATTTCTTTGAGATTTTATTTGCTCGGCTATAAACTGGGATTAACAATACTTATTTCCAAGGCTTATGTGGATCAATGAGAGAAAAATACTAAGTGACCAGTCTCACAAAGAAGAAACTCAGGAAATGTATCCTATACCAACATTTCCACTCAATCTCTTTTTTCACTGAAATCAGTAGTTCTCCATCTTTACTCTGACTTTACATCACATAATCTCAGTAACCTCACTCAGTAACCAGCATCTTTCAATCAGCAAATCATTCAATTAGGTGCTAGAGATACAGTCAAAAGGCATAAAATGCAGAAAAATTCAATTGTACTCAAAGGAACACCTCACCTTCACGAAAAGCCTCTTTCCTCAAGCAGCAGCAAGATAAGGCATGGGAAGGAAGGATGTGGTGAGTCCAAACAGCAATGGACAGTGGAAAAGTTTTGAGATGAGCAAAGAAGTTTGAAGATGCTTTTGACAGCACTAAGGCTAAAAAAATGATATGGGAGATGGGGGACAACATAGCTCCAGTCCCCCACCCAACCACCACTGACCTACACCTATCCCTGAAGTGAGGAGAGAAACTCTAGGTAACCATTAACAGGCAGAAAACAGAAGCTCCTATACCAGCACAACTGGATAAACGATTCCCCATCAGAATGTGAATCAGAAGTGGAGTTCTGCCTACATGCAGATGTGCAGATTTCTAAAGAAAAATGCCCAGGCAGATAAATAACACAAAATTTAAAGATACTGAATAAATATCCATTTCCCCACCTTACTTCTCCTAGGATAACTACATATAAAAATTTTAAATACCAAATTCCTAAAAGAATTCCAAAATCTCAAACAACAGATTTTGATACAAATTTAGACTTTGAATATTTTGTTCATTGGTGCCCTCTGCCAGGTATACAGAAAACATTTACACACACGCACAAGCACAGCCCAAGTATTAATTCAGTCCTCTTCTGCAGAAAATCAGAAGATCCAATCAGTAAGGATTGATAGCCGCCTCCCCCCAACTCACTCCTCCTCCTTTATAGGACCTATAACAGGACCACAAATTAGCCTATCACAGGACTCACAGTACCTGGAGGTCACCCTCAGTTCCTCTCCCTTCCACTCTCCTTCAACAAGCCCTCTGAAATCTACATCCTAAATCTTAAACCCATCTCTTTCTCCCCATCTGCAAAAGAGAACCAATATTACAAGAACAGTTACATCACTCAGTGGGCCAACTGCATTTGTCTCATAACTGGTCTCCCTATCTGCGGTCTTCACTTTCTCTAACCCAGTGTTCCAGAAACTACAAATGATCAACATTTTTTAGTTAAATATTACAGACACCATGAGAATGCTTCATACATAGTAAAGGTAAGTTTATTTCATGAAACATTTGCTATAAATATGACATGTTTATTTAGGAGATATATCTACTGCTAGATATATCTACTGTGGGTTGCAGTCAGACAAATCCAAAGATCACTGCCTAAGCCAGCTTTTCAAAAATATTAACCAAACGATTGTAACCCTTTCTTATAAGCTTTTTAGTCATATCCTGTGCTCGGTCGCTTCAGTTGTGTCTGACTTTTTGCAACCCAAGGACCATTCCCCACCAGGCTCTTCTGTTCATGAGATTTTCCCGGCAAGAATACTGGAGTGGGTTGCCATGACCTTCTCCAAATGATCTTACTAACCCAGGGATTGAACCCATGTCTCCTGCACTGCAGGATTCTTTACACCTGAGCCACCAAAGAAACTGACTGTTTAGTGGTTCCCCATTAACCACAGAATAAAGTCCAAACTCCTTGAAATGGCACTCGACTTTGTCCATAAATAAGCTCTTCCGCCCCTTCCCAGCCTCCACTGACAGTCTTGTCATTCTGTGCTCCTATCAAGCCACCTTTTGTACATGCCATTTGGCCTATATAGTTTTTTCTCTCCTTGGCTTATAAATCAAATCCTGCTCATCCTTCACTGCTCAGTGGAGGTCTGCTTCCCCATTGCCTGTAAGTTCTGAGAGAACTAAGTGTACACCATTCATCAGAGGATGGCCTGATCTCTGTCCATTCTCTTAAACTGTTGACCAATGCTTCCTTTTTGAAATGCTCTTGTCCTTGCATGACACAAGAGCCAGGCTTTCCTCCTACTTCCCTGGTTGCTTCCCTTCGGTCTACTCTTATATGGCAGTGTTCCTGAAGTTTCTGTCCTAGGTCACCTTTTTTTTTTTTTCAGTATATGCCTTATACCATCTAATCTACTTCCAAAGTATCAATAATGGTGTATATGGTAAGAACTTACAAATCTATATTTCCAGCTCATATATATTTCTTATGAGGTACAAACCCTTATATCCTGTTCTCTCCTAAATCCGTCCACTTTTCCCGTTTACTACTGCCTGCTGCTGCTGCTGCTGCTTCTGCTAAGTTGCTTCAGTCATGTCCGACTCTGTGCAACCCCACAGACGGCAGCTCAACAGGCTCCTCTGTCCCTGGGATTCTCCAGGCAAGAATACTGGAGTGGGTTGCCATTTCCTTCTCCAACTACTGCCTGCAACCAGGTATAAACCATCCTGTCCACAATATTCATCAGCAGCACTCTGGAATCACTTCATTAACTTCTCTTCATCTAGCTAACCCCTCATCACTCTTCAGTCTTCAGAATAAAATTCTTATCTTCTGGCTGGGAGATTATCTTTGAGCCTACAAACTGATTAGGTACACCTGACTCTACAATTATGTTCTGTTCCCTTATGAACTGGAACATCCATTACCCTTTATTATGTTGACTTCCGTAATCGTCCATCTCTCCTGATAGACTTTAGGGTCTGAACACAGAGACTAAGTAACTTTTGTTCAACATTGCCAGAGCCAAGTTTAATGCCAGCTAAGACTAAGTGCTCTGCATCCAGGCACTAAGAATCTAAATTGAGATAAGCTATGATTTTTTGGGTAGCTTTCTTTACATCTAGAGGCTGAAGCTTCACATCCACAAACTTCCTTAACAGCAGCAGCAACGACTAAAGCAATTACTCAAACCCGAAGAAAGCAAACAGGTGGAGTATCTTACCACTTCCCGCCCTTGACTGCTCATCAAGGTTTCTCACACCACCGATCGCCGTGGGAAAAATGCGACCCTATACTCCCAGTGGCCTTGGGGGCTTAGCAAGGGGACCTCAGAGTTCAGTGGTGTACACAAGACTAGAAAGGGGGGAGGAAGGTGCTGGAGTCCCTGGCTCCTGAGACAGACCAAAAAGAGGTTTGGGCCGAGGAGAAGGACAAAGAGCTTTATTTCCCCACGTACCAAGAGAGGTGGCGCTGCCTCGGTGCTGTCCCGCCCGGCCCGGGACGAAGCCTGACGAGGACGGCGGGACCCTGAAGTGCACTGGAGCGTCCTTGGAATCGAGGACGCGCCTCTGCCTGCCGGGGAAGCTCCGGGCGTCCGAGGCGGCCGGCAGAGAAGTTGCAGCGGCGTCCCAGCGGGGTCGCTTGGTGAAGGGCTCACAGCCGGGGCCCGCACTCATGCTGGGACCCGCAGCACTGAGTCTCCGGGCCAGCCCGGGCGTAGAGCCTCATTCAGTAACCCTGGGAGGCACGGACTGCGCCCCCTCCTCGGTGCTTCCCGGCACCATGCCCCTTCTGCCGCTGACTGCTTCTGCAGCTCCTGCTCTGACAGCCTCCCGAACCAGGCCCTATCCAGACGCCTGCCTTCCCTCTTCCACCGGCACCCTACCAGCCTCAGGATGAGCCGTTCTAATTCTGGCTTCGTTCACTTTCCCACCACCGGAAAGCTGCCGTCAGGTGCTTCCGCCTTCCGGGACGTACGCTGTCGCAAACCGGAAGTGTGAGATTTAGCTAACACCGGCGCCCGGAAGGTCAGCGTGTGAAGGAGCCGGTGGTAGCGCGGGTCTCCCCGCTGTTACCGAGGAGCGACGGCCGAGCAGACTATCTCGGCCTGAGGCGGCGGGGAGAAGCAGACGGGCAGATTGCTGCGACACCATGGAGGGCGGCGGGGGTAGTGGCAACAAAACCACTGGAGGGTTGGCCGGCTTTTTTGGAGCCGGCGGAGCAGGCTACTCGCACGCGGATTTGGCTGGAGTCCCGCGTAAGTATCAGGCCTAGCCTGCGAACATTTCCCACTGGTTCTTGCCACCATCCCACACGTGCCGTGTCTCCTGTTCTCTCTTTTTTTTTTTTTTTTGGCTGCGGTCACAAGTTTCAGTACCAGTAGTGGGGCTAGTATGTCGCACGGCTGCATTTTCCAACACTGAACGAGTGTTTGGAGCCGGGGGTCCGGAGCAGCTCTCTGACTGACTTGGATCCAGGAGATACTGCATGTTTTTTTCCTTTTATATTCAGGCTTTCTGCCTTATCAACGATAAGTTCCTCCCACATGTCGAGCCTATGGTAACTTTTTAACACAAAGTCACATATTCTAAACCACAAAGTAGTAGCCTTCAGGGCAAAACACCCAATAATAATGCATACAGGTGAGAAAGAAATATGCGTCGAGACAAGTGGAGAAACTTGGAGTAGAACTGAACTTTTCTATAGATATGAAAAAGAAGCCAAGAAAGAATTTTAGGAAAGGAAACATTCAAGTTATAGGGTGCCGAGGCACGAATACCCTGCCTACTCCCTCTCCTAAATACCACGAATATCTATTCCAGATCTTTGGAACTTTCTAACTGTGGGTATTCACCTGGATGAGTAAAATGTGGACTTAAAGATAGTGGGAAGTTGGTGAACGATAAGAGCTTTATAAAACTGTTTTATCTTGAGAATCTTTCTACTCTTTCTTTAGGTCTTTTATGCTCAAAAACAAAAACGGCTTTTAAAGTTCCTAGTGTCACCTGTGTCAAAACTGAATCTAGAACACAGTTTGCATATAATAAGTTATAGAATATGGCTAGTTGATGAGTTTCAGAGCACAAAGGGCACTGCCTTAATGTGAAAAGGTATTGTTACATTAAGATTTCAAGGTGAATTAAGAGATCAAGGAGTAAACCCTATTCATTGAGTACTTGAGATGGAGTTTTCTGGGTGCAGGACTTCAGCAGTTATATTTTTTAAAATGACTGATGTGTTCACAGAGCTTCCATTCCATTGAAGTGAGCCAAGTAAGTAAGTAAAGTGTTTCAGTTAGTGCTAAGTGTGTAAAGGCAAATAGGATTTTGAGATGGTGATGGGAGCTGTTGCTAAGTCACTTCAGTCGTGTCTGATTCTGTGCGACCCCATTGATGGTAGCCCACCAGGCTCTCCCATCCCTGGGATTCTCCAGGCAAGAACACTGGAGTGGGTTGCCATTTCCTTTTCCAAATGGGAGCTGAAGCCATTTAAAAATGGCCCAGGAAAAACTACTCAGGATTGTTGACATTTGAGCTGTGACCTGAATACCATTCAAATGTCTGAAGGGAGGTAAGTGTTTAAGAAACAGCTGTTAGGCCATTGTGTCTACAATCTACAAGGGAGGTGGTCAGGCTGGAGATCCTGAGATTAGAGGGGAAGAAATGGCAGCTAATGAAGTGTTTTATAAGGAGTTTGGACTTAGTTACAAGAGTAAATGGAAGCCATTTAGATTGATTTCCTTTTCTGAAAAAAAAATCACTTTAATTACCCATTAAGAAAGTGAGTTGGAGAGACTGGAGCAAGTAAGGAGTCCAATTAGGTAGTGATTGGACTAGGATGATAGCAATAAAGATGGTAAATAAAAATTCAAGATAGATACTGGATATAGAACTAATAGGACTTTGAATTGATGAAAAGACCAGAGTTCTGAGTAATGGATAGACTTGAGAACAGTCATCTGAGATACAGAGGATCCAAAGATTAAATTTAAAATGTGAGGAAGTTGATTTTTCCTTGATAAATTTTTCTGTCTTCAAAGGTAGTGGAATTCAAGTCTGGCCCTCGGAGAGCTCCCATTTTCTTTTGTCCTGACCGCCATCCTTCTGGTGATGACCTAGAATTCTCTATTATATAAATCAACTTTGTCAGCAACTGTCAACACTTAGATCTGAAGGAATTGCCTTAAAATATTTATACACAACACATAACCCAAATGATTTTTTTCCCCTTCATGAAATTGATTTGTCTCTTGTCAGTCTTACTTTGCAATCTGTATAAGCTCAGACAGTAAAGAGTCTGTGTGCAATGCAGGAGACCCGGGTTTGATCCCTGGGTCAGGAAGATCTGCTGGAGAAGGGAATGGCACCTCACTCCAGTATTCTTGCACGGAGAATACATGGACAGAGGAGCCTGGCGGGCTACAGTCCATTGGATCACAGAGAGACGGACACAACTGAGCAACTAACACACACGCACACACACACACACACACACACACCCCCACCCCCAGGTATTTCTGTAGTTAAGTAGAAGGAAATTAGCTTTATAGTTGAACTGGGCTGTGCTTCCTGCTACTTCAGTTATTTGGTCCATGTTACTGCCATTGTCTTGACATGAGAGCCTGAAACACCAGTGCAGGATTGAGGGCGCCAGGAGGAGTCAGCCCCTAAACTGCCAGACAGGAAGGATAAGACAAGGAAAGTGGGAGAAAAATTGCCATGCATTGTAAGTCAGAATTGCAGAACACATTGAAGAATCAAGAGCAAAATTAATGCTAAATGAAATAATTAAATTTTTATTGCAATATATTTCTTTGTTTTCTCTCTAGTAACTGGTATGAACCCTCTGTCTCCTTATTTAAATGTGGATCCACGGTATCTCGTACAGGTAAGAATTTTATTAGTCTGGTCCTCTACTTTACCATTTAAAAAAAATAACCATAGGTACCTACGTTGACTTGATCTGTGATATGTGCTTCTAGAGGCATCAAGTCTCTGGTCCTCATTCACCCTTTTCCCCCCGCAAACTATAGGGATTTGCCTTGCATCTCTTCCTGACACTAGTTGATTAAAGGATTTGTGGGTTTGGCTGGTTTTTTGTTTTGTTTTGTTTTTTTTCTTTCTTTTTTTTTTTTTAAAGGTTGTGATGAAATTAACAAAATTTACCATCTCTAACTGTACTGTTTAGTGGTTGCATTCCTAATACTGTATAGCTATTACCACCTACCAGTTCCATGCTTTTCATGTTGTAAAACTGAAACTCTATACCCATTAAACAGTAACTCCTTTTTCCATCCTCTTCCCCGTTCCTGACAACCACCCTTCTGCTTTCTGTCTTACAATTTTTGAATACTCTTGAGTACCTCAAATAAGTGGAATCGTACAGTATTTATTTTTTTTGTGACTGATTTAATTCATTTAGCATAATGTTCTGAAGGCTCATATGTATTGTAGTCTGTGCCAGAATCTCCTTCCTTTTTAAGGCTGCATAATATCCCCTTTTGCTTATCCATTCATGCGTCCTGTGGACACTCATGGATTGCTTCCATGTTTCAGTTATGGTGAATAGTGCCACTGTGAATTTTGGTGTATAAATACCTTTTCCAGATCCTCATTTCGATTATTTTGATTATATATCCAAAAGTAGAATTGTCATATCATATGGTAATCATATTTTTAATTTTTTGAGAAACTACTGTTTTCCACTGCAGCTGTACTATTTTACATTCCATTCTAAGAGTTTTACAGTTTCGGGTCTTCCATTTAAGTTTTTGATCCATTTTGAGTTAATTTTTGTATATGATGTTAGGTAAAGATCCAACTTCACTCTTTTTCATATGGCTATCCAGTTTTTACAGTACCATTTGCTCAAAAGACTGTCATTTCCCTGTGTAATGGTCTTAATATTCTAGCCAAAAATCATTTGACTATATGTGCAAAGGTTTATTTCTGGACTCTCTATTCTATTTCGTTGATCTGCATGTCTGTAAGTATACTAGTACCACACCAGCATACATTCAGGCTTATTGATTATTGTAGCTTTGGTAAGTTTTGATATCAGCAAGTGTGAGTCCTTCAGGATTGTTCTTCATTTTTCAAGGTTGTTTTGATTCTTTGGAGTTTGTTCAAATTCCGTATGACCTTTGAAATGGGTTCCTCTGTTTTTGCAAAAATGTCAGTTCCTGTTTTGATAGGATAGGAATTATTGAATTTGTAGATTGTTTTGGGTAATATTGACATCTTAGCAATATTAAGTCTGATTCATGAATATGGGCTATATTTTCATTTCTTTCTGTCTTTTAAAATTACTTCCAGCAAGTTTTACAGCTTTCTTTGTACAAGACTTTTACCTCCTTGGTTAAATTAATTCCTAAGAATTTTTATTCTTTTTGGATCTGTTGTAAGTGGAATTGTTTTCATAATTTCCTTTTCGGATTGTTTATTGTTAGTTTGTAGACATGCATCTGCTTTTTCTGTTGTCTTTGTATCCTGTTACTTTGCTGAATTTATTTATTAGTTATAACAGGGTTTTTTGTGTAGTCTTTAGAATTTTCTACATATAAGATCATCTATGAAAAAAAATTTTTACTTCTTTCTTTCTAATTTGGGTGCCTTTTCATTCTTCTTTCCTAATTGCTCTGGCTAGAAATCCTAATACTGTGTTGAATAGAAGTGACCCCCCCCCAAAAAAAATGAGCATCTTTGCCTTGTTCATGTGTATTAGAGGAAAATCTTTGAGTCTTTCACCTTTGGATGTGGTATTTGCTGTGAGTTTTTCATGTATGCCTTTTGTTATATTGAGGTAGTTTCCTTTTGTTCCTAGTTTGTTGAGTTTTTATCCTGAAAGTATGTTGGATTTTATCAAATATTATTTCTGCATCAATTGAGGTGATCATGTGGGTTTTTTCTTCCCCCTTCATTCTGTTAATATGGTGTATTACATTGATGAGTTTTCATTTATTAGGACATCCTGCATCCCAG